TGTGCTGCAATAGAATATGCAGTATTTATAATGAATGATGTTCAATAACCATAGAAATAGTTGTTTCAATGTCCTTTCCCATTATTATTTTTATTATACATTATTTAACAGATCATTCGTTAACTAATATAATCAAATTATATTTTCATGTATCATTACAAATGGCATCGTTTTTCTTTTTAAAGCTGTAATCATGTCGTCTTTCTTTCTATGGATATCTAAATTCATTAGTCACATTCTTCATAAATGAATTGAGGGTGTGGGTGTGGGTGAGGGTGTGGATGTGGGGTGTGGGTGTGGGTGTGGGTGTGAGCGTGGGTGTGGATGTGGGTGGGGTTTGGGTGTGGGTGTAAGTGCGGGTGTGGGTGGATGTGGGTGTGAGTGAAGAGAAGCCTAACATCCACATCCACACCCACACCCACACCCCACACCCATACCCCACACCAACCCACACACCTACACCCACAACTTCACTCACACCCAACCCCCACCCACAACCTCACTCACACCCACACCCACACCCACACACCTACACCCACAACCTCACCCACACTCACACCCAACCCCACACCCACACCCACACCGACACACCGAAACCCACACACCCACACCCCACACCCACCGACACCCACATGCACGCCCCATCCACACCCAGGCCCACACCCACACCCACGCCCACACCCACATACCCACAGCTACACCGACACACCCACCGACACCCACACGCACACCCCAGCCAAACCCACACCCACACACCCACCCACACCGACACACCCACACCAACTCACACCGACACACCCACACCCGCACACCTACACCCACACCGACACCCCCACACTCACACACCCGCACGCACACCCAGCCACACCCACACCGACACCGACACACCCATAGCCACACCCCACACGCACACCCCAGCCACCCCCGCACACCCACACCCTCAGAAATCTGCATGTTCAACAAGGAACCAATGAGATTGGGAGTTTCTATTTCTCAGTGATAAAAGCGACGGAGGCCCATACATATACCCCTTATTCGATAGAGAATCCTCGATAACCTTAGGATCGGCCCGAACATGTCTAGTGGTTGTCCGAACAAAAAGCAAGAAAACGCCTCCGGAAATCTGTTTGGTCCATTTTTCAGCCAACGGGATTGAGAGGTTCTATTTCTCAGTGATAGAAGCGACCAAGACCCACACATATACCCCTCATTCGATAGAGAATCCTCGATAACCCACGGATCCGCTGGAACATGTCTAGTGGTTGTCCGAATAACAAGAAAGAGAAAGCCTCCTGAAATCTGATTGGTTCATTTTTCGACCAATGGGATTGAGAGGTTCTATTTCTCAGTGATAGAGGCGACCAAGACCCATACATCAGTGTTCGACATGAGGTCGCAACAATCAACGTGAATTGACCCGAGTCGGGTCAAACTCGCGTTGATAGTTGCGACCTCATGTCAAACACTGCCATACATAGCCCTTGAGGACCCAAGGGTACCCCCTATAGATAGCTTTCAGGACCCTGGAGGTGAATACTAATTAAGATGAGTACTATTTAAGGTGAGCGCTAATTAATTAAGTAATTTAGATTTTACATAATGTTCATAGGGTATGGTTTGGATTGATGGGACGCTGCTATTTGGTATGAACTTGATAACCTTTGCTGAGGTCAATGAGTAAAACATGAATGCGTAGGTGAGCTCCAAATTTGGAGTTTACGCAATTTGGAGCTCACTTTTTTTGACCCACCCACCCACACCCTGCGGGTGTTGATCTTCTCTTAACTGACCCACACTCACCCACTTCGACACTTCGCACCCACACCCTGGGTCAGTGAAGAGAAGATCAACATCCACGCCCACACCCACACTGACACCCCACACCCTGATTTGAGATAACCTTGTACTATGCAGATAAAATTAATTCCAAGTTTATCTGCTGATGAACCTTTAAGCAAGGTTTGAAACGGTCGTCGTAAGTAGCTTAGAATATTCTTTGAAAACTCATCCTCTTTTTGCTAGTGACAGAATTTTCAGACGTATTTAGATGAGCACGGTATCCAATCCGTTTTAGAGTTGGTAGAATCAGTTTGACAGACTGCATTTCGAATGATTTTTTCCCTCATTTATGCTCTATGATCCACAGAATATCCAGTATTTTATTGAATAAATTATAACAAGAGGGAATCAACACATCACGTTATGTTAACCCTTTATTTTGCTTCATTTACTTTCTGAATCAGTTCCTTTTTTCCTAATCTTATTCGCTTTACCTCAATGAATTATGTTAATATTAATATATTTATCAAAGTCAATCAATAATATATATATATCTTGTGCTTATTGATTCATTTTCTTCTTCTGTTTTGCAATTTCTTCCGAAAGATTCATTGAATTATACGTTTGAACCCGAAATTTACAGTGAAACAAGGAAGTGCCAGAATGCAGTTTAAATTTTCATTGTATGTATCGTTATTTGTAATCAAGGGACACTATTGATTCATGGAACTCCAGATGGAAAATGTCAGGCTTTTTACCTTTTGGCGATGGAGGAATAGATTGCTGCCGATCATTTGACTTAAATGGTGATCGTTGGAATGATTTACTCATCTCCTGCAAAATAGGCGCATATACAAATTGGTACAAAGTTTATGGCGAAGTTCTCTATACTGGAAAAGATTTCTGTGTCCGTCAAAATTCTACCACAAAGAATTTATAAAGTGTTTGTAAAAGTTTAGTGTTGTGTAACCAGACACAATACTTCTGATAAGAATCCTACAACAAAATTTATGTTACGCTTATTTTTGTTTATTTATAAAAAATTTATCATCACATTATATTTTGTGAATTTAATATGACTCTAAACACAAGTAACGTTCGTCGGTTTGACTCACTTGACCTTCGACTGTTTAAGACAGAAGTATATTGTGGGTGTGGGGTGTGGGGTGTGGGATGTGGGTATGGGTGTGGGTGTGTATAATATTTTAAGAAAATACTACTACTAGTTTCGACCTTTCTCAAGGGTCTCATCAGGTAGATTTAGCACTGCATAATTTTCAATAATTAAATTGAAAAGATTTACATCTTCCCACGTTTAATTTAAGGAAAAATAAGCAAACGCAGAGAATTCTTAGAAAATTACACGCGTGTGTATAATATTTTAAGAAGATACTACTAGGGTGTGGATGTGGGTGTGGGCGTGGGCGTTGGTGCGGGTGTGGGTGTTTGGATCTATGTAATCGCGGCCACAGCTACAGCCACATCCTCCGACACCCACACTCACACCCACCCACACCCACACCCACACCCACACCCACACCCACACCCACACCCACACTCACAACCACACCCACCTACACCTACACCCACATCCACATCCACCCACACCCACATCCAAACCCAAACCCACATACCCTCACATCCACACCAACCCCACTCACACCCCAAACCCACACCCACACCCACCCCACACACCCACCCCACCCCACCCCACCTCACACCCACACCCTTGTAGTCGCCTTTCATCATAATTCAGTCATTTCAAGCAGTTCGCCGAACTTGGCAAAAAATAGATTACATGGAAGAGAGCTTTAACATTTATGAAAAAACGATTACTTTGTCAAGAAAAAATACAGAGAAAATATCAACGGGGTAAGTGCAGGCACCCAGCACCTCAGCACCTGAGCACCCGTTCCGCACCTACCAGCACCTACAGCACCTGCTCGGCACCTATACCACATTTCACTATGAGCACCTACGGCACCTACAACCACTGTTCCATTATCTTAAGTACTTTTCAGCACCTTGTGATAAAATTTAGTGTTTAGGCTCTGCCCTTTAAATTTTATTACAGGGTGCTGAAAAAGTACTTAAGATAATGGAACAGTGGTCGTAGGTGCCGTAGGTGCTCATAGTGAAATGTAGTATAGGTGCCGAACAGGTGCTGTAGGTGCTGGTAGGTGCTGAACAGGTGCTAAGGTGCTGGGTGCCTGCACTTTCCCCCTTGGAAAATATGCACCTGCTTTCAATGCTAGAAATTCGATACTGTAGTGTTCTTTATCGTGTTTTTTATTTTTCTTCTGAAGTGCTTTGGGTCTGTTTTTAAGACGTTCTTTTAAAAATATTTGCGTCAGTTGGAATTTTTTCGATTTCTGTTGCGAATTCATAGTACTGCCTTTCCTTTCGATGGATAACAACGATAGCAAAAAAAACGGAAGCAACATTTGTAGTTTTATATTCGACGCCTTAGTAACAGGGGAACCTGTATATGTTACGGGTGTCGAACGGACGTGGGAGCATCTCAAATTGGAATTTGATCGTCATAGTGATGGACTTCCGAGTCGAACGGCTAGATATTATCAAACCTTATATGCTGGTCCTAAACTTTTCGGTGTAGATGAAAATGAGGTAGTTTATTATCATGATAAAGAACAATGGATTCCGTATAATAGTGCCAGAAACATAACATATTCATATGATCCAGATTTTTTAGATGACAATGAATGTGATGACATTCATTCATTGTCACCAAATTTTACTTATGAACAAATGATAAATAAAAGACGAGTAAGCTTACTTTTTCTGATAATTTAAATTGATATGGAATTGACACAATTTCAGTTTTTTTGGTTTAGATGTCACAAACTAGTGCGATGTGGTATTTCAAAAGCAACGAGAATGTTGTGTTGAATAGTGATGAAAAAGACCGCTGGCTACCGTATTCTGACATTGAGAATGAAATAATTGAGGAAGCCTTTCAGCAAAAGTCAAGCATGCCAGCACTTGTGGAATTAGACGATTATCTCATTGACTTTGACCAACTGGTACAGGTGAATAAGTTAGACAGCACCAAGCAACAGGCGATAAAACGTGTCATTAAAAGCAAATATGAGCAAAGGTATCTTCGCGAGGAGCGATTTTCTGAGACACTACCACTAATCTCATCCAGTTCACATACTTACGGAGAAAAAAATGAATGGAGTCCATTTATTAGGCAATGGATGCAATCAAAAGTTGGTAAACATTGTTTATTTAATGCGAGAAAATGTGTAAAGAAGGCGATTGAAGGTATATTGATTGAGGGACGTTTAATTGGAAAAGAAATAGAAGCAAGACATTTAGTGGAAGAACTGGAAATGTGTAAAGGGTTACCCATAAAAGACACATCGAAATGTTGTGTTCATCTATTTACTAGAGTTAGTTTTCTATATCGTGCGATAAACACTGCGCTACGTGACAACGATTTGAGTAAAGTGGATACACTCGGACCATATTGCTATCTACTTCGAGCCTATATACGTACGACAGGTACAGATTACTGTGGACGCCTTTATCGTGGCTGTAATCTGTCAGAGGAACAAGTCAATCAATATCGCAACGCCGTTTCTACGAAAGAATGGAAAACTTGGACAAGCTTTACATCGACAAGTAAAAGTCGACAAACAGCTGAAATGTTTAATATGAATACATTATTTATAGTTGATGTTAGAGAAATAAAAATGTGTTCGATCCGTGCCTTTGACATTGAAGATATATCTCAGTTTCCAGAAGAAGAAGAAGTTCTTTTACCAGCTGGTGTTTTATTTCAAGTTTTAGATGTTGAAGAAGATGCAAAGACAAAAAGTTGGATTATTCATTTACAACTTTAAAGGTTCGCACATTTAAGAAAAATACGAACATAATTTTCATACAACGCAACGTTTTTCATTTGAAGTATGACTTTGGAGAAATGTGTTATAAGTTAAGTATAATAAATGTGTATTATGATCATTTTACACATTCTTTATGTGTATGTTGAGTTTCTGTGCATATATGCCACTTATAACGACATTTAATGTCTCAACTGAGTTTTATGCCTGTATTTTATTTCGAATCTTTTCTGTTTGAACCAGACGACAGCAGGTGTCATTTATGTGCTGTATGGAAGAAGGAGAAACTACCAAGCGTGTTCATAACGTCACAAGGACACTCAAATCGTGTGCTGCAATCCGTCCACAAGTCAATGTGTCCTAACAGAAAGATAAAAAGTTGATGGTTTTTGTCATCTACGTTGATAGAACTTTTTGAAAACGATCTTGAAGTCGATAATTAGGTGAAGGTTTCAGATTGAGTTTTTATGGACATCTGAAGGCAATTCTTATGCAAAGTGTAAGATAGTGACTTATTCGTTTAAGCTGGAGTGACTTTTTTATGTGTTTGAATCACTTCAACTCTAACGGCGTGGTCTTTTTTTCTCGAAGCTTATTTCATCTTTTACTTCCGTAGTAAACCATCATATATGGTTCCTTTCTTTTTTTCGTTCTACATACACAATAAAGTAGGTCTCTTTCTGTTCTTTTTTTTTCGGTTTTTTCCAACATGACTCATATTGTACCTCAAGAAATAAAATAACGTGCCTTTGTAAGCAAAAAAGAAGTTGTTTTTTACATTTTCTTCTTTTGAGTCATTTCATTTTTCTTCAAATAAAAGAGTCATTATCTATCAATGTCTAAACCGTATCGTATTTGTATTTTGGGTGGCGGCATCATTGGTTTAACCACTTGCTGTTATTTTCTTAAGACCTATTCATCCTCGTCCATAACTGTCACACTTATAAGTGATGAATTTTCACCGAACATTACATCAGCTGTGGCTGCTGGATATTGGCATTCACCAAACGGAGAACATCTCACAAGATTGGCACTTCACTCATACGATATTTTCCTCTCAGAATCCTACTCAATCAAAGCACAATATGCTGGTGTAATGTCAATGGCATCGTATGTCTTACATGGAAGTAATGGAAAGTATCCGACGCCAGATTATGTTCCAAATGATACTCCATTATTTTCCTCCTATGTCAAACATTTTCATCATCTATCAAATGAGGAACTTCAAATGTTTGATACACTCAAACCAGTATCTGGCTATTCATTCACAACTGTAGTTGTAGAAACAAAAAAATATTTGAACTGTATAATGCTTTACCTGAAACAAAAATCAAACGTTAAATTCATTCAGAAACATGTGAACAATCTCGATGAGCTATCGTCTGTTGACAACTTTAACCTGATCGTGAACTGTACAGGTTTAGGAGCACGTGAATTAGTTATTGATGACGCTGTAAATTTATATGCTGGCCGTGGTCAAGTAGTTCGTATCTGCGCACCTTATATAAAATCCGTTTATCTCTTTGACGGTGGTCTCGGCTACATAATACCGCAAACAGATCATGTTATTCTGGGTGGTTCAAATGAGAAGAATAATGAAAGTAAAATAGAGAATCCCACTGAAACAATTGAAATTCTTCGAAAATCGACAAAAATTTTTCCTTCACTTGTCGATCATGAAATTAAAGAAGTCTCCGTTGGATTTCGACCAATACGCAAAATCAATGGCATGACAACAGTACGGGTAGAATTTGATCGTGAGAAACGTGAAGTGATTCATAATTATGGACATGGCGCCGATGGTATTACTCTATCGTGGGGATGTGCACGTCAGGTGATTGAATTAGCACAAACTTTGATTCCATCAAGTAACAGCGTTCAACCGGAGAAAAAGAGATTAGTTGAACACGACAAACTATGGCAAATTGTTGAATAAGAGTAAGGTTCTGCTCCGTTACTTTCTCACGCTGCTTACTTTTCTTCTATTAAACTAGATTCTTTTTACACCTCTTAATTACAAAATCTCCGCACACGCCTCCATTTTTATATATTAATAAAACAAGTTCATTTTTTGAATGATTTAATGTGAATACATTCTAGTTGGAGCTCTCGAAGTCGGTTCTTCAGCATGTGAAAGATTAGTGTATACACACTTCATCGCCCTACCTTTATTTCTCTAGGACTCTATTCATCGTTGTCATATTTGAAATGACAATCAACAAATCTGAGATGTGTCAGATAATGTAGATGATATATTTCGATAAAAAAGAATTCATCGATTTTTGGATGCGAATGAATACAATAGGAAGTGAGACATCGCAAATATGTGTATCAACTCAAATCAAAATTATGAGAAAAAAAATCAAGCAATTGTCTTGGTGCATCATCATCATCCAAGAGACAAAGATAAATAATGTGATCAATGATCAATGGAAGATAAACGCGACAGATACTATCTCAATCAAAGCTCCGAATGGAATAGGATGGGACGAAAAATTCGTTCCATGGGGCGCCCTGTCTTATCCCATCCCATCGCGTGTGTCCCATGGGATTTTTATACAATATAAAATCCTATTGCTAATCAAACTTATTTATAAGTTTCGTATTGATTTAAAACATTCTTTTATTTCTCACTTTTTCAGTTGCAATTTATTTTGATGCAAAATCTCTATTTTCGATTTTTTTTTGTTGGAAAACCAGAAACATTCTAACATTTAGATTTTAGTGTTGGAGCAGCATTGTCTATCACTTGATAGTGTGCCTTATCGCAGGCAGATACCGAAAGAGAGGCCCATGGAGCTCATTCTTCTCAGGGATGAAAACGTCTGCAGCGTGTAGCGAGCAGAAACTTTTTGCACAGCAAGG